AGAGAGAGAGAGAGAGAGAGTGAGAGAAAGAGAGAGAGAGAGAGAGAGAGTAAGAGAGAGAGATATAGAGAGAGAAAGAGAGAGAAAGAGAGAGAGGGGGAAGGGAGGAGCGGAGGAAGGGACAAAAAGACACAGAGAGATTAGAGGCAAGCACAACAGAGTCGAAAATTGAACCTTAAGGCTAACATCTCAATTTTACTTTATTTGCTCTCTTCTATTGCCCCTCAGTAACATGTGAAAAAAGCACAGACATCTATAGCATACTAGTTAGGCTCTTCAGCTTTACATGCATCAGGTGTGATTTTGATTCACACATGGGGGAATTTTTTTTTACTGAGTATCTCGATCTGTTGCTGGGATGTTGTATCCAACTTAGCTTCGGTTGGCCAGACAGTTAGAGTTGAAGCAGTTTATCTCCTAGATATTTTACATTATGTCAAAAGGAGTGTAAAACTTCTTCCTCTTCAGAGCTAGATCTGAAAAAGATGTTGTTAATCATGGTTCGCTACTCACTTCTCTGCCCAAATGCTCTCAAAACAGGTATATCATCCTAGTATCTTCCTTTAAACAATCTGTTTGAATTGTTTATTTGAGTAAAGAGATAAGGAAAAGTAAGACAGACAGAAACAGCAGAGGGAAAGAAAAGAAATAGAACCCATAGCAGTAAACTCCCTACACCTGCTTTAAACTATAAATCTGTTCAAATTCTCCAAATCAGCTAATATGACGTAAAGCATCAACACTCACTCTCGTCTTCCTCGGGATGGTCCTGCTCATACTCAATGTGGTTGATGTACTCCAGGATGTTGTCCTTGTAGAACTGCTGGGCCAGGTCTTTTGGCGTCTCTCCGTGGTCGTTGCGGGCTGAGAGAACCGACATGGCGTTCCCATTGTTGCTCACAAGGAACTTGAGACATGGGAGATTTCCTTCCGCTGCCGCCAGGTGGGCTGGCAAGTGGTGAGTAGGAAGATTTTATGAGAAGATTGGAGGGTGACTGCAAAATGTGAGTTTCTTTTCTTTGAGTAAAGAGAAGTAGATCAAAACAAGAACAGCCATTTAGGGCAGTGAAAAAGCAACACTGACACAAATTTTCAATTTCTTTAATGTAGGTATTTGACAGAATTTAAATCATTTAAGAGGTGGGCTTCTAACGCTGCCTGAGAGAGAGAGAGAGAGAGAGAGAGAGAGAGAGAGAGAGAGAGAGAGAGAGAATCTCTTCTACTCACAGAGAGTATATAATAATCGGAAGGGCCTATTGACATTGACGATTTAGTTGTTTGAGGCTCTTGTCTTAGAGCCTGTTCAACTATCTGGTAATGAATGAAAATAATGCATTGCGTGCAGGCTAGACAAATCAGTTTTGGCAGGTGGGGTTGTAAACAGTTGGGAGATCTTTCCAGTATTCGTCCAGACGTCTCTTAAATGTGTCCACGTTTCCTTCAAAGTTACAATCCTTTTCCATCCAGAATCATCATAAAATTATAAAAGGAGAGTTATCCCCATTTTTCTTACTGGCTTACAGTGTACAGTAA